CCAGTCCGCCCCCAGCCCTCTCTCCCCGGGCGGGCTCGGGGGTCGTGCGCTGCCCTGTCCGAGTCTGAGGACTGCCCCCTTGGGGTCTGGGGAAGTTATCTCCGGAGGAGGCGCTCTGAGGGCTCCCGGAGCCTGGCCGGGTTCCTGTTCCTCGCCACTCTCGCCGGGCGCCCGACTTGCTCTCCGCCTGTAGGTGTGGGTGCCTCGCTCCCCGCCCGAGTGCGCGGATCGTGCCCGGCGGCCTCCGCTGTTGAGGGGTGGTTCTAGCAGCTGCCTCCTCGGTCTCAGGAGAGTTGGGCGCAGACAGCGGAGCCCTCCTGTGCCCTGGCTGGAGAAAGGCTCAGGGATGGGTGTCCCCAGTCCCTGACCCTGTCCCTCAGTCGGTACTCTGTACTAAGTCTGAGGTCCCGGTCTTACTTGGAGCCTCTCGTTTCCTTTCCCCGTTTGGATGTCTCAGCATCCGGGCTCCACCTTCTCTCCCTCTCACCTTGCCATCTCCGGTGCCCTCTCTGACTTGACCTCCTCCCTGTCTGCAGCTTCAGGGCATGGCCTCTTCTAGCCGATTGCCTCTGTCTCGGTGCCTGTCAGCCCACTGTGCGGGCACCTCTGTGGGTCCTTTGCCCTTGTTGGGTGTGAGCAGTCAGGGCTCTGAAACTGTCTTTCACGGATCTTGTGGGGCCATCTGGTTGGCCCGGTGGGGAACTGCCTTGTCCTACCCTGTCCCCAACTTCTCCAGGGGTCCCTTTCACACATTCTGAAGGCTCCTTGCTGAGCCCATTGAGATGGGGGCTGGAGGTCCGCAGGCTTCAACTCTGGGCAGGGTCCACGCTCTGCCTGGGTGTGATCTTCTGTCTTAAGGCACACCGATAGGGATGGGTTGTGTCTGTCTGTGTCATCATGCCACTTGCCTGCAGGGATTTGCTTAGTCCCTTAAGAATGTTAGACACGGTGTGGGAAGGGGGGCCCAGGATCTGTAGGGATGGAACGCTTGTCTCTCCTCCTTTCTCCTGTTGGGAGCCCTCACCCAAGACTGCCTCTGCACAGGGCGCCTTCTGTGCCTTGGGGTCTGCCAAACTTCTTTGGAGTTGACCAGCCCTCTGTGCCAGAGTGTGGCTCTTTTGCCTGCGGCCTGAGCCAGCCCCAAGATGTGATGTGATGGTATTTCTCCCTGCCCTGTGGGTGGCAGGGAGAAGTCTTCCCCTCACTTGTGAGGAGGAGAGAGTGGAGTGAAATTGCTGATGGCGAACCGGAATGTTCCCATGTCCTGCAGCCTCTTATTTACAGGGGAGGGGACTCAGAGGCGCTGCCTTTGAACTCTTGGAACTGAAAGTAATGTGTTCAGGCAGAAACACAATTAGATGTTCTCTCTGGATTCCGAGCCCTCCCGGGAGGTGGGCAGGAGGGTTCAGGAGCACGTCCTGCTGGCCCAGTGTTCTACCCGTAGGGTGGTCCTGGGGCGGGGGAAGTGGGACCGACTGCACCCTTTGCACCTGGGGTTCAGGAGATACCTTTGGGGTGCAGATACCACCTGTTGAAACAAATGAGGGGGAAGAGATGGCTGGCTGACTTGTTCTCAGGGCCCTGATGACCTGAGCATCCTCCATGACCACTCCTTGTGGGTTCAGATTAGTGTCTCTGTTCTCTTAAATGCCAGCTTAGCCACAGATGGTTGGCAGTTGGCAAGGTGGTGGTGGGGGTGGGGAGCATACCAGTTTCTTTTGAAAATTCCTTTTGGAATTCCAGGTGCAACTGTGGAGTTGCTTGGCTTCATTTTTTTTTCTGCAAGTTCAGTTCCTGTCCCCTCGTTTGCAGCTCCCAACGCCTCAGTCTTCACCTTCTGATAGAAGTATTTTCTTTTTCCTTTTCACTCTTCCCTTCCTGATAGTTGGCTACCGGGCTGCGTGCCGTTGGCCATCCTGGGCTGTGTTTTATTTTATTTGCTCCCCTCTCTCTTGTCTTCCTCCCTTTCTGCATCTACCCCTGTGGGCTTCTGCTTGAAGTCACAGCGCATAGGCATACCTTCTGGCTGGAGCCTGGGCTCTGGCCCCTTGTAGCTGTGCCCACCCAGCCCCTGCCCTTCCCCTGGACCAAGGAGACCAGAAGGGGGCAGGCTGTTCCCGAAGTCCAGCATAGCTGGAGCTTGGGTTGCAGGCAAGGAGAAGACCAGACCGATTTGCAAGCCACAGAGGCCCTTGCAACCCGTGGTTTGTTTCCAGACCCTGCTGGGGTGGGGGTGGGGGGGCTGCCTGCATGGTGTTTTGGAGGGACAACTGGGAGCAGGATATTAAAAAAAAAAAAAAAGATTAAAAATTGCTGTGATTTTCCAGATGACTCCTGTGAAGCGCCTCAGAGGCAGCGCTTGGGCAGTGGTGTTCCTCTGTGCTCCGTGGCTGGTGGGGGTGGGGTGGGGTAGGCAGCGGTTGGCTCTTGCATGGAGAGGGGATCCGATCCGTGGCCTGGGGTGGGTGTGTCGCAGAGTGTCGGGCAGGCCTTGTGCATGGACCCTGCTGCAAGACCCCGCTCTGCATGTGTGTGCTTTGCAGGCGCCGGGAGCTGTCAATCGCTGGAAAGAGCTGATTGTATTTTTTTGGTTTTGCATTTCTGAAGCCGGGAAGGAGCATCCAGTTTTGCAAGGAGACAGAGTCAGAGGGCACAGGGACGGCAATGAGATGGGCATGTCCATCAGAGATGTGCAAGCGTCCGATTTCCGCTCAGCCTCTCGCCTGTTAGAATGATCGAGCCGATTGCAGCTGTTTGGTGGCCGGCCGTGGCCCTGATTTTCCCCTGGGTCTCCAGGAAGCTGTGGATTTTATTGTCATCTCAGGCTTCGTTATATGGGGAGGGGATATACCCGGGGCCAGAGGGTGCTGTCAGAAAGATCAGCTCCAGTCTGGCAGGCATTGTGGAGAAGATGAAAGAGAGTCCGGTGTGAATGTAAAGAATGTTTCTTTTCTTTCCCTTGGTGAATCCCTGGAAGACCTCACAGTTTACTCTTTGTGCCCTTGGATAAACTGCTACTAAGTTTCACTTAAGAAATCTGATTTTGTGTGTGTGTGTGTGTGTGTGTGTGTGTGTGTGTGTGTGTGTTTTCCTCCTCCACATACGCATAGACACACTGCACTCTTGAAGTTTGATTTCTTTCTTTCTTTTTTTAACTGACTCATTTGAAATGTTGGTTTTTCGGCATGAAATTCCTCATACTTCGCATTACTCGGATAACTCAGAGGGCTTTTGCAGACAGTGGCAGTGACTTTGAAAAAGCCAGTTCACAGCATCCAGACTGCCCCCGGCTTCCAGCAGGCTTGGAGGCGTAGCTTTTCTTTCTGTCCAAATGTTTTGGGACCAAGAGGACAGAGGGTATTTTACTAACTTTTTTTTTTCTTTTTTTATGTCTTGCTCTCAATGGAGTTTTGTTTTGTCGGAGCAATGCGTCACACTTTGTATACAGAAATGTGTGTCATTGGACCCATTTATCTTACTGCAAAGGTTCCTACCTGCTTCATCGTAGACTAGAAAATGTTAAAGGGAATAAAGTGGGGATTATTACCAACATATATACATACACAAGATGAAATAAAATATGATACAGCGTTACAGGATGTAGGTTGAGTTGTTCCTTATTTGAAAGGCTTGGGACCAGAAGTATTTGCAATGACGGATTTTTAAATTTGAGAATATTTGCAGACACACAGTGAGATACCTTGGGGGCGGGACCTCAGGCGAAGCACAGAATTCACTTACGTTGCACGCGTCCCTTGTGCACAGAGCCTGAAGGTGATTTGATGTGGTATTTTTAGTGTGCCTGTGTCTCAACTGTGACAGGTCACACGAGGGCAGGCTTAGAATTTTTCCCCTTGTGGGGTCGTGTTGGCACTTTAAAAAGTTTTGGATTTCAGAGCATTCAGATCTCAGGTTTCTGGACGAGGGTCGTGCAGCCTGGTGCGCGTGCCTGTGTAGTGAGCGTACCCCATCTATCTGTGCAATCGCGCGTGTGTCTCTTTCTCGCTTTCTGCCTACTGTCACGTTGAGACTCTCTGTACACCGGTTGGTTTTTATCTTCCAGAAGGTTGGGTGGTGAAGAGCTTGCTGCTTTGCAGACAGGAAGCCAGCCCAGGCATAAATTCTTGCTTCCTGGGGACGGACCAACTTTGGTCATTGGTCCTCGTTGAAAGAGAAATTGGGTGGCCTGGGTAGAGCCGAGCTGACATCATTGTGGGCACGTGTGTGCCCAGAAGAGAAAAACATCCCCCGGGGTCTCCGTGGCCAGATTTCACCTCCCAGCTAGAGCTATTTAGGGTCAGGGGGGCCACCAGCCCCCAGGAAGGAAGACGGAAATGCACCCCAATGGGCCTGTGCAGGGCGAGGGCAGGCCCGGCCCCGGCTCTTGGTCAATGCTGCTTTGTGCTGGTCACTTGCCAGCCCCTCTCCTTTCTTCCTCTGCATCTCCCCCTTTCTCGTGACCCCCGATTCCCCATCTACCAGAGACAAATGCTCTGAAGACAATAAATAATAACCACCCCAACCCCAACAAAACCCAGATTCAAAGGGAGAGGGGGGTGGGAACAGAGGAAAAAGTCACAGGGCATATGTGACCGATTCCAGCACAAATGAAAGAGGCCTTGTGTGGTGCCCGCCGCGCACCCCACCTGGGCTCCAATTCTAGCTCCGTGCCCTCCTACCTCCAGCCACCGACAAGTCACTGTCCTCCGTCAATAGGCCACCGAGGCCACCTCCGTGGGTTGTGTGAGGACGGATTCCAGTAAAATGTGTGTGAACTGATTTGGGCCTGGCACATGCTAAATGGTCCAGTGTGAGCTGCTGTTCTCGACAGGAAATTCTTGGTACATTTGGAAATGAGCATTTTTTTGTGTGTGATTATTCATTTTCCTGCACAAAGGAGGGATTAAGTGAATCCCAGGCCATTGAATGCATCTAGCTCCTTCTGCATGTGCAAGCCTTGAAGCAGGATGGACTGTGGCAGGACAAAGAATACCAACATTTATTGAGCACCAGCTGCATGCTAGGCATGATTTTGGTGGACTGCATACATTATTTTATTCAATGCTCCCCCCAAAGTGGACCTACCTATCTATCTCCAGGAAGGGAGAGGCTGTTACCCAGCTTGTACCAAATTGTGTCTGAGAACCCCTAACTAGAAATCTCTGGTCTTAGGATTGCTGGTTGTGTGGCAGAAATAGAAGGGAGCTTTGTGGACATTATCTCGCTGTCTGGCTGAATCCCCCCGAGCTCTGTGGGATAGGGCTGTTGCTGTCCCCATATCACAGATGAAGCGACCGAGGTTCAGAGATGGAAAGCTGCTTGTTCATTAAGATCCCAAAGTAGGGGACTAGCCGAACCGGGAGCCACACCCAGCTCGGCCTCCTTCCCAATGCCGTGCAGAGTTCTGAGCTCCCTCTCTGCACAGTTCTTGGATAAACCCTCAATGCAGCTGTATCTTTTTTCTAAAAATCACTATACCACTCTTCTCACTTCTGACTGCAGATTCCTAAAAATGTGCCAACCCTAGAAAAGCAGCATATGCCCCGTTTGCTTCGAATCCGCCCCCTAAACAACGATGCAAACCCATGGGCCACGATAGCAGTAGAGCCCGTTTTTCACCCTTCACATTAACTTCTCCGGTTATAGGGTTATACTTGCAGCAGCCGGCGGTCATGGGGCTGACCGCGACCAGGCCCTGGTGTGGATGTGTGCAAACATTAACTCCTTGAAACCTCCTGCTACCGAGAGGAAGCTAGGGCACGGGGCGGCGAAGGGACTTTCCCTGGAGTGCACCGTCGTCCGTGGCAGAGCAGGACCTGAACCCATGCAGTCCGCGTTCCTCGGGGCTCTGCACCCTCCGTCTTGTCAGCATCTCGAGAAGGCGCCTGGCTGGGAATCCCAGAGCGCACGTTGATTCCTTCAAAAAGCCCAACCCCGAGGGTGGGATCTTAGTTTTTAAGAATCTTTATGGCCTTTACTGAAGGTAACACACACAATTACTGTAGTTAAGCACAGGAGCCTACCCACCATGTCACAGAGTCACCCATTCTTCGGGGAGGGGGCAAGAGCACCTAAAATCTAATCATTGAGCACCGATCCCGAGTCCAGTAACCGAGGACCGCCAGGCCAGGCGTCTTGTTGTAGCTCAGACGCTGGACCTGCTGCTTTGTGTCCTTTGACCCCGATCTCCAGAGTTTTATGGTCCTAGAAAAGAAAGTATCTCCTGCAGCCCAGGAGGCAGGGAGCGTGCCGGGGAGGACCTGCAGCCCAGGAGGCAGGGAGCGTGCCGGGGAGGAATTGAACTTGAACGAGGAGTTTGCCGGAGGAAGCAGGTTGAGACTGGCTCTCTCGCGACAGGGGGCCGGGCGGGAAGGGGCTGTGCAGGGCTGGCTGGCCAGGGGGGTCGGTCCCCTCTGCTGTTCCTGCTGCCCCTCTCCTTCAGTTCAGCTCCTCTGTGGTTATCTCTAGAGGAGCCCACGAGACCTGTCCCTGACGGCCCGGGTGACGGGGACGTGGCAGTGACATCTATCTCCGGGAAGGCGCAGTCGGGATCTGGCGAGCACTTCCTTCCGCCTGAGCAGCAGCCGTCCGTCCGTTTGCCCGCAGACGCTCGCTGGGTTGTGCCCCTGCGATGCCTGTGGTTAGGTGGCCCCTCCCCCAGGGAAGCCCGAGATGTCACAGAGGAGGGTGGTTGTCACCTTCTCTCGAGAAACAGGGAAACCAGCTTTAGTAGTCATCAGAGAGTGGACCCAGCCAGCTGGACACTTGGAGGAGTGGGCGCATGCCAGCCCTTCTGGGGGAGATGGCCTCTGGATTCAGGGTCCCCTGAGCGCAGTGAAATGGGCTCGTGTCCTCTGAGACCTGGTTTGTCCCCGCCAGGTGACGGGCTGGCTTGGTGGAGCCTCTGATCCAGGCTGACGTGTCCGCGGATGGCGCTGGGGTCCTGTGGGCTGCTGGGCCTCTCTCCCAGGGGCTCTGCCCGGGAAGCAGAGACGGTCGGGGTGTGGCCCTCCTGCAGCCTGAAGGAGCAGAGTCGGAGACCCAGAGGTTGACGCCAGGGCTCCCCACCCAGGCAGGGGAGCAGACGTGCAGGTGGCGACTGTGATAACGTGAGGGGGAGGGCCGTCACTTTGGCTGAACGTTTGCCTGGCACCAGCCACGGGGGGAGGGCTAGGAGGACCCAGCCCCCCTGAAAACAGCGACCCCCAAGTGAAAGGCGGCTGCTCTCTCCTGTCACCTGTTTATGAAGAATGATAAGAGCCAAGACAATAGATTGCATGAAAGTCAAACTTCCAAGAAGTGGCCAGAGTAGGAGTTGGGGTTCCGTGGCGACTCCGACGGCTGTTAAGTCTTTGCCCAACTCAGTCCATAAGTGTCTCAGCCTAGCTTCACCTCGGCCCACCCTGCATCCGTTCATGCATGCATGAATATATCCACCGTCTGTCCATCTGCCATCCACCCGCCATCTATCCATCCACCCGTCCCTTCATCCGTCCATCCACCCACCGTCTATCCACCCACCCGTCCATCCACCCACCGTGTATCCATCCACCCGTCCGTTCATCCGTCCACCCACCCACCGTCTATCCACCCACCCGTCCGTTCATCCGTCTACCCACCCACCCATCCTCCACTCCAACAGAGTGGGCCAGGCCCCGTGCCCAGCACAGGGACCACCTTGGTGAACAGGAAGAGGGTCCCTCCAGCCCTCCTGGAGGCAAGGATTCAGGGTGCACTTCTAGGTGCCTGTCACAGTTGAGGTTCCTGTCACATGTCTGCCCAGTTCTTGCTGCTGATCCCCTTTTCCCACGGTGGCTTCGTGGACACAAGAGGAAGGTTTCCTCTGGAAAGGTGGGGGACAGGAATGGCATGGGCCAGGGCTCATGAAGGTGACAGGTCCCCGTCACCCCAGAACTGGCACTCCTGAGGCCCGGACCACCCTGCTCCTGGGGTCCAAGGTCTTCGTCTTACACCTGAAGGGACGAGCCGGGAGACGTGGGGCAGTGCCAGGCGGAGGCCCAGGGGCTGCCTGTGGGGTTCGGGGCGGGCCTGGCAGCGTCTGCTGGAGCGGGCACGCCACTTCCTGTCTCCGCTTCCTCATCTGCAGCTTGGGGCCCAGGAAGGCACCGGCCCACAGGACTCGATGACGAGGTGTCACTGGGCCCACCCTCCTTATCTGCTCCGCCTCCTGGTGACCACGCCAGGGAGATGCTTGCAGGAGGGGCCTTGGATCTGCCCATGCCCGGTGTCAGAACCACCCAGCATAGAAACGTAGGGACGGGTAGAAGTCCTGAGATGTGCCAGTCCTGGGTCCTCGTCCCTGCTTGGAGGCTAATGGCCATGCTGGGAAGGGTTGCACCCAGACCGTCCAGTACCCCAGACCCTCCTCCACCTCCTGCAAGGTCCCCCCGGCACCTGGGACACGGGACTGGCCCCTCTGGGCCGCTGAGCTTGCAGCCTGTTTGGAAGACCTCTCGTCACTGGGAAGAGCTAAAAATACCTGTGGTCACCTGTCAGCTGTCCCCTTGTGCCATCGATTCTCCCGAGCTGCGGTGGCCCTCCCTAGGTCTGGTGGAGGATTCCCCCGCTTCCTCCCTGC